TTAAAAAAAAATAAAAACAGTACTAGCAATATTTATACTCCGTCCAATGATTTATTTAATTTTTGACAGTTCGAATTCTAATCCATTAGTGACGTCCTAATGTGTTTCCGATTCGATTTTTGTATAACAATCGATTTTATTTATGAAGAAGTTTTAATCGTGAATGTGAGCGGGTTCAAAAAAGAAGATATTGTCTGATTGGGATCGTAATGTTGCGTTTGACAATTTGTGCACTCAAGAGTTAATAATTAATGTGCATTAAAGTGATGATACCCGTTCAAATGGAGAAGAATCCGACGATTCATTATAATAAACAATAAAAGTTTATTATAAATTATAATTTATTTAACTTCATTATAATTTATTAGACAGGTACCAAAATTTATTGACTAGAATAATCTTCGTTACATAATCTGTTGGCTCGATAAATATCAGAGCTAAAGAGCACGTCGTTTTACTAAAATTATAAAATAAAAGACCCCAGGAAGTATTGCATTTTTTGTCTATGGTTGTATGTCAATAATTACGGAACTTCGGAGCTTATAGGATGGAAAAAGTCTAAGCTTCGGAGCTTAGAGGATGGACAAAATCCATAGTAACTTCGGAGACATGCACAAGTGTCAAAAATTAATTTGATGGTTGGACGGAGTATACTTATCTGTGACCCAGGTAATACTACAGGTGTCATGTTATGATGGCATTTTACACGTGGCGCTGATAGAGAACTAATTCTCCTATTATAAACAACAACATTGATGTTAAAATTAAAGATGAAACGCGACAACTTTTGTTGAGATTCTGGTCAGTCTATGGATTTTGTACCTTAATTTAATGTACTTATAAATGATTATGAAAATTGCGCTTCCAGTTTTGATTTGATACTGAAAGTCTACGGGTTCTGTAAATATGTATACACTAAAATATTATAATTCGTATATTTGCTGCAAACATGGTATAGCAAAAGTTTTAACAGAAGTACCAGTACAAACATGTTTCGCTTATATCAAATGGCATGCATATATAATGCAATATATAATGATAAAAGCCTACTCATGGAATCCTGTGTTTAGTTTCTCATTTCCCGTTTAAAACAAAACTGATGCGTTTTTGTTTTATAGAACTCTAAGTTCTAATGTGGGAGATGTTTTTTTGTTTGTAAATAATATAAAAATGTTGATTTATTTTCTCTAAACATATAAGGTGCTTTTTTAAATGCTTTGTGAGAGGCTGGTGCCTGAGATAGGCATAAAAATTCAATTATTTATTCCAGACAAAATATTCGTAAAATATTGAACTATACCGTCCACGCGCACCTTAGTGAACATTTCCGATTCGCAACATTAATCTGAAAGCGTCATTATCAGTGATCGGAATTGATGGAGTTAATGTAGCTAAACAAAAGAATAATGTGGACATTCCCTTCTACAAATCTGGGGACTTCTCAGAATTTATTATATTTTTTAATTGACGACAATTCTTTATTTCCTATTAAGTATTTGCCACAAATTATTGTCTCAAAAATTATATTGTAGTTGTGTTTCTATGGGTACTTACGTATTGAAATACTTTAGCCATTTAAAAAATATACATGAGACAACCTATATTTTGGAATGTTTAGAAAATAAACAATAAGAAAAGAAATTATACACGGATTGTTGACAAAATGGGTATATCATCTATATCATCTTCCTCAATTCTGATCACTGGTCATTGTATGTACACACGCCAGCATATCATACTACACATTGACGTATCTTGTTCCGTTGCACTGGAGGCGATTTTCGAACATATACAAAATGTGTAGGCTGATGTGCCGTTGTCCGTACATGCGCAGGGAGTTTTATGTTTATTTTTTAACATTAATAATATAAGATAAAAATGCCTATATCACAGGTCGCCAAGTTCTCCACTATGCAGATATACTAAATTAACTTAAATTCTTAATTTTGTACCAATCAATTATACCTGCTGCAGGATCGTCTGAAGATATTCATGATCACGCCTATATATATATATATATATATATAATATTTATATGTAAATTAAATTTACCAAAAATAAACTTTTAAATTTTTGTTGTACTATGTGAGACTTTAAATCTGTATTTGGTAGAATAAGTTCAAACGTGGAAGCGTCCTCCGCGACGTCTCCCACCCCCCGTCGTGCACAGAGTTATACCATTTAAAGCGATCTTTTTGAATCTGTTAAAGTAAAATCTGTCTTGCAACAAAATTTGTTGTTTATGATGTTAGTAATATATAGTCCTGCGAGGTTGTTTATATTTTACATATAATCTTGTATATTTATTTGTATTGGTTTATTGCACTATGAGCAGAACCCCAAGATATACATTGTCTGATTAAAAACGATTATTATTGTACGAAATGAATAATTGTATGACAAATTGAGTTGCATCATGCAGGCGGTTGTACTTAATGCCTTATTGACGAATGAAATAAACAGTTGTTTGTAATATTGTTCTTTTATTTACTTTTACACATTGACTTACAATTATATGGACGTCGGGTCCGCGCTAAAAAGTGTCCGCACTTGTAAGGCGCTAAAATCGTATACAGAGCGCGACACTCCGCTTTAGTCTTCATTTGTTCTACCGACAGCGCGATACTGCGATGACATTACAATTTAAATTTCGAATAGGTTGACTTGGGACATTTTTTTCGTGGTTTTTGTATTAGACCCGTCGTCCATTTATTTGTAAGTCAATGCTTTTACAGGATATTTTACCTTTTTAGAAGTACATTTTGATACCTCCAATGAACACTACACTAAGTTAATTTTTGGATCTGTTATGTTTTCATTTCCTTCTTTTTTCACAAAATTCGATTTTTTTCGAATTTTGTTTTTGTTTCTTTATTTTTTTTTTCACCGAATGCGGGGAGCACAATATTAGTAAATAAATATGAATGTTTACAAAAAATAAAGTTGGCGTGGTGTTTATTGGGGATATCGATTTGTTATTTTCTTGTAAATGAAACTACTTTTCGGATCTAAATACTGTAATATAAAAAAGTCCAGCCGCAGGACCTCGATGACAATGAGAGAATCTCGACAAGCTCTGAAAACATAATACCACAATGCCACCACATGGATTCAAACTTCCCACTTAAGAATAAATTGTTCTCCTCTATAGGCTATCACCGCACAGTATTTTATGAGAACCAGTTTTGTATCATCCCTTTTTTTATTTCAGATTTCTATACTCCAGATGTGTGTAGTTTCAAGGAAGAATATTAGACAAAGGATTGGTCTGTAGCATTGACTTACAATTATATGGACGTCGGGTCCGCGCTAAAAAGTGTCCGCACTTGTAAGGCGCTAAAATCGTATACAGACTCCGCCAAACTCCGCTTTAGTCTTCATTTGTTCTACTGACAGCGCGATACTGCGATGAATCAATTTAAATTTCGAATAGGTTGACTTGGGACATTTTTTTCGTGGTTTTTGTATTAGACCCGTCGTCCATTTATTTGTAAGTCAATGGTCTGTAGATATTAACTGAAATAATCATATATTTTTTAAGTTTTTAATTTTTTTAGCCAATTGTAATGTTAATAGATAAAACCGTAAATGGCACACATTTTAGAGCAATCCGCGACGACTGAGGTTCAGTTGTTACGAAATTATGCCCTTTTTCATTTATTTACTTTTTTAAGTGACTTCAAAAAAGGAGGAGATTCTCAATTCGACTCTTTTTTTTGTATGTATGTTACGCGATGACTCCCGTATAAGGAGCAATTATTTTAATGGTTGATTTTGCTATTCTCTAATTCAATGCGTTTTTCACTCTCAATATACTTTGAGTAGTGAGAACCGATTTTCATTATCTCCTGTGTCAAGTTCCGCATAGTGGCGAACTAGGGGATGAATCCGGGTTTGCGCACTTTTCGGTAATCGATTTCAAAAAAAACTTGGCAAATAGATGTAATTCTATGTACTTTTGAGGTCGGTTTTTTTAGTACGCTGTACTGAGATTATTCCGGATTATTTTTAATGATTAACCGGTCAAAAATTGCTCAATTTAAAAAACGATGTTTTCTCTGAGACTACGTATCTAGCACACGCAATGCGGACTCTCGCATTCCTATTAATTTTCGCTATAGGAATCTGGAACAAAAAATTATGTCACTGAATTGGGTTTCTTAAAACACCTTAGTCCGTTACCATGCAATGATAAGACCGACATCATGTTGCCGCGCTGTGAGTCTTATTTATTTGGTACAGTTATTGGGTTTCAGCTGATGACATTTTAGCGATGACGTCATATTCTTTAAAGTGAATGCTAAATTTCACTGTACCGTCGCCAACGTCCATACCACGTTAGGTACACCGGTTCTCGTCCGATCACCGAAGTTAAGCAACGTCGGGCGCTGTTAGTACTTGGATGGGTGACCGCCTGGGAACACAGCGTGTCGTTGGCTTTTTGCTGCTCACTATAGAAAGTTTGTGCCAATGTTTTTCTTTTTTAACCAAACAACAATTTCTCAAAAATTAACTCTCATAAAATTCTGTATCGCTTTGTTTAAATTTATTTTATGACGCTAAGTGATGGGAAGAACGGAAGAAGTTTTGCGTCTGGTGGTAAGCGACAACTGTCCATAACAGTTGCAAAGCTTTAAATCTTAAAGATCTGAGAGGCAGTGCCATAACGCACGTCATCCTTAGACATAAATTGACAAGTCCTATGTGCACTTCAAAAGCGGAACACAATAATGCAACATTGTCATTATTGCTTAGAGGCAGAAATAGGACTTTGTCTCACTCTCTTCTTTTCTCTCTCTCTTTCACAAGGAGCTTTCCGTGTTACGAGTATGTAAATTAATATAATTTTATATTTGAATTACAGTATAATAATATAATTTTATATTTGAATTACAGTATAATAATATAATTATATGAACAAGACAATTACAACGTTATATAATGTGTAACATGCTACATGTCAATTTCAGTGAAACCGAATAGCTCCTAACTTGGCGTCATAACGATCTCAGTACTAAAAAAACAGATCTCAAAAGTCATTCATCCCCTAGTTTGCCCCTAAGAGGTGGAATATTTTCTTCAAATTTTAATGGGACTACAGTACCTAGTACTGAGGTACTATCTTTCCAATAAAAAAAGAATCATCAAAATCGGTTCACAAAGTTATATCTTAACGTACATACAGTCGAATTGAGAACGTCTTCCTTTTTTAAAGACGGTTAATAAAGAAGTCTCAGCTCGCATTGGGTCAACATGGCAAACTATACAACTCCCTCTATTTAGAGGAGGTCCGTCATCAGCAGAGTAAGACGTATAATGGTTTGACGATGTACTTAAATTACATTACCCGGTGACAAAGCTTTTAACTGTTTCCTGAAACCTGCATTAGGCTGTATAGCCGGTCGTTTCTCTTTAACCAAATGATAAGCAACATCAAACGACATCCTTTCAAATTGCATCAAATAGGCTATTGCCACAGTTGAAGTGCGTGATACACCCGCGTTGCAGTGCACTAGAATATTCTCTTTACATTCTACAGATTTTCTTATAAAACTCAAACTCTTTTTTAACAAATACCGTATATCAGTTTCTGGCAAATCTAAACATTCAACAAATTCATGATCAACAGAAACAGTTATATTTATTCCTAAACTAAGAACGTGTTTTATATTATACTTTTCAATAACAGCTTTGGTTGTACAATCCTGTGATCCTATATACATGTAATCTACAATCATTACAGGAATATCGTCAGGTTTTGTATCGACAACAAACCCGTAGGAGCTCTGTGCAATGTTTTGTCTCTCATCCCCCTTTTCTATAAACCGTTTACCATCTACATTGGTCACTACAGTTTCTGTCTCTTTCAGTTTATTCTTTTGTCTTTTTAGTTCACTTAGAAAACTCATCGTCACCAATTTTCGTCGAAACTGCTTATTATTCACTATCACTTTCTTGCTCATCTAAGCTGGTATCGTGCGTGCTCTGTCTTTCAGGGGCATAGATTAGGTCGTCCGGGTTGTACTCAACGTTGCAAAGATATAGTCCGTGTGGTGGTGAGCACTGGATGGAATTGTGCCAAGAATGCTTTGAAGGCACTTGTAGCATAACTTTTATTTCTTCTGGAGGTAGTTTGCCGACAGCGACGCTTATGAGTGTGCCCATCATACGCCGTATCTGTTAAGGTAAAATTTTAGTGTGGGTTGAATTCTATACGTGTCTCTTGTATGGGATTTTGTTAGCACATTCGAGCATGAACAGTGTTGATTTTATTTTTTGTTTATGGTTATGTTAATACGTTTCAGTGTTAAGTAGGGATGGTATCGTTTAATCGGAATAATCGATGTCATTTGGTTCGATTAATCGGATAATCTATGATTTCATACCGATTTTCGCTAAAAAAAATAAAAATGTTTTATAAACATGTTAAAATAGGAAATGAAACTATTTTTCCGGATTTAAATCGCGTATATTTGTTTTTTCAAACAAACTGACGTTTCGGGCCCTTTACAGGTCCCATGGTCAACCGTGTCCACTGTGTAACAATCGCGAAAACCTAAGAACTCGAAACATGTTAAAAATTAAAAATAAACCGCTTTTAAATCCAAATGTTCCTTTTATTTAGTCGATTTTCGAAAAATGAGACTTGCGCGCAATACCGTGACACCAGAAAGATGGTTACATAAGCTAATCATAAAATTTATCTCCACCGCCTTTGAAAAATTTATAATTAATACTGGTGTCTATACTACTATATTGTTGTAATTTGTGTAATTTGGAATAAGGCGGGAAATGAGAGTTATGCTACGAGGTTTCTATTCCGAGTTTATTCTAGAAACCCTGGTACTATTAACTTAGACATAATGGAGTATTGTCTAGCTCTCTCTATACCTACTTAGTTTTAATTTAACTTTAGAAATCAGGTAAACAATGAAGCAGGGTCTGTAAACCGTAAGAGATGAAAGCGACGTTATAACATTTGACTTACACAGCTAAAAAAATACACCAACAAGAATATGAAGTAATGCGACCAATTACAATATTTATATTTTTCGATTAATCGATGTTTTGTTGGTCGATACCCATCCTTAGTGTCAAGACAATATCTTTTATATTATAATGGCACGCTTCCTTGTAAGTGTCGACAAACGACAAACAAGTTTATGAAAATGACGTTTAGTATAGACATAGTAGGACTCAACTTGCAATGATCACAAATCTGATGAATTTTGAGAAGTTAGATTTAACGTTTTAAGTGTAATTCAATTAAATATTCTTGTTGAATCTGCAAAAGTCTCTAAAATTGTTACGCAGCAAACTCGATGCTAGCGAAATCAAATATAATAAGAAAAATGGCGAAAAAAAATTTTGCATACGAAAAGTTTAGGTGATGAAAATTAATGGCTGTTTTTTTCTGATCCGTACCAACTTAATAACGAAAGAAAAGTACCCGTTTAAATTCAAGGTTCTGTAGCTTGCATTCAAAAAAGAATTGTAAGGATCAGCGCAAACCGTCGGAAGGGTATCTTATGTCGGTTGAGGAATATCCTTTACGATATCGCGAATGGTTGCTACTTCCTTGCTTGCTACCTCCCACCGCGGTATTACACGGTAAGCTACACGCCTGTCCATAGCAGTGGCAGTGCCATTCGGAGCTTTAAATCGCAAAGATCTGAGGGGCACTGCCACTACGCCCGTCACCCTGAGACATAACGATTGTGAACAGGAAATCGGTACTATCTCAATTTTGATAACTTTACAGGATGAAATTATATTATAATTATAGCACCTGATTTATTAAATACGTAGTTTGTAAATGTTTTTATTACACATACACTACGTATTATTGTTTATTAAATGAAAACAATTTTTTTCTTCATAGCGTAAAGTTGTCAAAATTAAGATAATACCGGTTCTTCTTCTTCGTTTTGCTCAATGGCGGTTCCTTCTTTTTAAGATTTCGCCAGTGTCGAGTTTTCCGCTTGGCAGAATGTAAGGGCTAAAAAATAAGTTTTTCTGTAAATATGGCCGCCACAAAGAGGATAGGCAATTTGAGGCAGCGTGCTTGGATTGACTCGGGATTCCTTAGAACGGGCCGATACGGGTATTTTAGTTCGAGATTCGTATAATTTCGCGTTTTAATCTTCGATTAAGGCACAATAGCACTATCCTATTCCACTTTAAACTAGATTTCACAAAATAATTGAAAGTCAAAATAAAAACGACACTTTTCCCTCCAAAAGGTCCAGAGCGAATTATAGTACCGGTTGCCAGTTCACAGTCGATAAGTTGACAAGTCTCATATGTCTGTAATTTCACCAACTGTTTGACGGCAGAAATAGGTAAGGTGGCAGTACTTCTCTGGACAAGTCTTTAATAGCAAAAAATACACATTGACAAATGTAATATTCTCTGCCTTTCTGTCTGCTGGTTTGTCCTTGCCCTAATTTAGATTTTTTTACCTGTAAACAACTTACCTGATTATGCACAAAAGCTCTGCCTCTAATTTCAATGTCCCAATAGTCAAAGAATGAATCTCTGTCGTCGACAAAGCTTGTCAACAGCGGCCTTCCCGGTCGAACAATGATATCGTATATTTCGCGTCTGTTATGTTTGTATTGTTTCAGCTTATCAAACTTCTTGAATGTTGTGAAATCGTGGTAGCCTACGAGGTATTTCGCACCTTCTTTCAAGCGTTCTATGTCGAAATCAAAGAGTCTGGAATTGCACTTAATATTTAATGGCATTATCATCATCAAATCAGCCGGAACTCTACTGCTGAACATAGGCCTATGTCCCCTAAAGATTGCCAGGCTAGCCGGTCTGAAGCAACGTGCATCCATCGGTGACCCGCCCTTACCAGGTCATCCGTCCATCTAGTAGGAGGCCGTCCCACTGAACGCCTTCCTGTTCGTGATCTCCATTCGAGAACCTTTCTGCCTCAACGGCCGTCAGTTCTACGAGTGAGTCTTATGTGCCCTGCCCATTGCCACTTCAACTTGCTAAGCCTTTGAGCTATGTCGGTGATTTTCGTTCTTCTACGGATATCCTCATTTCTGATTCGATCACGTAGAGAAATGCCCAGCTCGCTCCATTGCTCTTTGACTGATTTTGAGCATTTTTATGAGGCCCGTAGTAAGTGACCACGTCTCAGTGCGCGAAGACTTTTGTCTTCAAGGACTGCGGTATTGCGGACTAGATGTCCCGGAGCTTCCCGAAAGCTGCCCAACCGAGTCGTATTCGACGATTGACCTCTTCCTCGAATTTAATGGCAATATTGGAAATAAATAGACAGGCCATTAATTAACAGGACGACCTTGATGGCACAACGGATTGCACTGTGGACGCTAGATCGGAGGCCCCGGGTTGAAATTTCCGATAGAATCAGGCCCTGTACTGTCGTTTTCCGTCCGGCATTTGTCCGAAATAATTACTGTGAAATAAGTAATACTCGACCAAATTCAAAGTCGCATGATGCTAGTGAAGTGAAGTGCACCAGAGTGAATTCCGTTGCTCTGGTACTCATAGTACAGTGATTTTTGTAAATAACCCTGCACTACGGAAACCCTGTACCGCGGGTGCCATGGATACACACATTGAAAACCACAAAATGACACCCAAACTCACTAGAGAAATAAATATAGGCCATACAAATATTTCTCTCGGCGCGGGAATCGAACCCGGGACCTCTGCGTGGCGGACCAGCATGGTAACCGTTCGGCCACAGAGGCAGCTAATTTGAGGCCAGGCAATTAGTGTGGTTGTCTGGTACATTATTATTATATTTCAGACACACGTCTCTCCCCAGGTCTAACAGATTTGTAACGTTTTTTTTATTGGCATTATAAGTTATAAGTGACGGAATGAACAAGTCACGCGGCTGGTGGTAAATAACACGCCTATCCATAACAGTTGCAGTGCCACTCAGAGCTTTAAATCGCAAAGATCTTAGGGGCACCGCCACCGCGCCCGTCACCCTGAGACATAAGTTGACAAGTCCCATGCGCCTGCCCTACGTATTATTACTATTATTATAAATTATTCATCGTTTTGGTTCTAATTGCAAAAGGTGGGTCTGTAATGCAGTGTTAAATTATCATAAATAGTCTTACTTAAAGGTCGATCAGAGCTAGAAATTTAAGTCAAAAATTTTTCCAATAATAAATAGTTTGCTATAGAATCAAGGGGTCGCAGCTATAAACTGGTCATACCATTAATACTACCTTATAAAATGGCACCTCTTCCATTCTTCTATGGGTATTTCAGAGCCTATGCCATAATATTCTGGCAACTCTATACCTTTTTTCAACACTGCAAGCCTGAAATAAACAAACATATTGAAAAATTGTAATGACACATGCATTATTTATGTTTAAATTATTGTACAGTCAAGAGCACATCAAGCTTGACACTTTGCATTTTGGACCGTTTTTATAGTAAGCGGCATAGAGTTGCATGTAAGTCTTGAGTGTCAAGCTTCACGTGCTCTTGACCCTGTACTTGATTTTATTAGCTTGTCTGATTGTTTCGTGTTCTATGATCTGATTGTAATGTGCTCCACACTAGCACCGTTTGTTATAAAATTGATAACTCAACCACCAGACCAGACCAGACCAGAATGTCGTGACAAGTGCGGAGACTGAAAATTGACATTCTTGATAGTTGAGAAATAATCTCAACTAACACAATTATTATATTTATTGTAATTTGTTGTGCGTTTTCATTCTGTAATGTACAGACGGCAGCACATCAAGCTACACATTGACGATATTCGAACAAGTGTATACAGCTTGATATGCTGTTGACTGTACGATAAATTGCTAATGTCAACCCATTATACTTTCAGCACGGGTCTTCAGATAGGGTCACATAGTTTGTCACGCTGCGCTGACCCCAATGTAACCCTTGTTCTACATCCAGGTTTTATAGCAATGGTTTCCTTCTCCGCTAGTGAGAGAAGCTACGTAATATTCGCTTCTTGCCCGTGGACCACACCACCTGTCTGGTTCATCCAGGTGGATCACGAGCAATTTTTTCGTCTCACCTCTTACGTACAAAATAAAAAGAACACAAAACTTACAAAATAAAAAGAACACAAAACTTATGTTGGTGGAGGTACACCTACGAAGTTAACACGATATTATGATGTTGGCCAGTATATATTTTTTAAACGATAAATATTTATAGCTTAAAAAAAAATACCTTACAACTTTATACACAGAAAGTTTTTTTCGCTTCTTGCCCGCGGACCACCAGTCTTGTTCACCTCGGTGGACTACGGACAATTTTTTCTTTCCCTAGTTCACCTCTCACATATTTTATGTAAGTATTTATAAATTAACAGTCAACTGTGACCATGGGACCCGTAAAGGGCCCGAAACGTTGGTTTGTTTGAAAAAAAGCAAATATACTCGATTTAAATACGTAAAAACAGTTTCATTTCCTATATTATAAATTAAAGTTGAGAAGTCTAAACAAAAAATGAAAAAATTTGTTACTTAACAATATAAATTACACAAACATAGTAATCGGTAAAAGATTGTATATGATATGAAAATCATAACATTCTGGCATACTTATAACAACATTTACCTGTACAAGTAAGTTCTTCTAATAGCATTGTACCTCGCACTGAAGTTATCAGCTACTCTATAACACCGTCTCACATTTATACTGATATCATTAGTGTAGAAAAACTTATTCAAGCCAAACACAATGTCGTGGGGTTCAAACAACTTGGTGCCGTAGCGATCAAGGTCAAAGTGGGCACTGGAGTTAAGCGCGTGTACACCACCATCTGTGCTGTGGAAAAGTTTTATGATATTTGTATAAAATAACATTTATTCAGTATACAATACAAGGAAGGCATAGGAATAAATAAAATAAATGAAATAAATTAAGTAAAAGAAGTAAATTAAGTAAATAAAATAAATACATAACAAGTCCCATGTACGTGTAATTTCACCAGCACCCTTACCCTTCTAAACCGGAAGGCAGGAATGCTCACATTACTACATACTTGGCGGCAGAATAAGGTAAGATGACAGTACTTCCCTGGACCAACTCTTTCACAAGGAGCTTTACTGTTGTTGCAATCTTTTTGTGAAATTATAATATCAGTGCCTCCAGTGAAAAACGGAATAAGACGAGTTATGCCCTTTTGTTTTTATTGCACCATTGGCTTCAGCGTGTCCGATTACATAACACATCAAAAGGACGCCTCTCTAGCAGTCTCAGTAGCAGTATGCACGAAGGGCATAACTCACTGTTCCTAAAGGCATTATTTTAGTTATCGGGCATTTTTTAGGAGTCTAAATGTACAAGTGCTCTCAACTCAAAAAATACATACACGTTTTAACGAATAACTGCAGATATATTTTTACATAGTCACTTTTCGTATTGTTCCACAATTACGGGGGAAAAAGTAGGACTTAAAGCGACTATTATCTTATCAGTGTCCATAAAGGTATAACTGAGCTTTCCGTTTGTTCCACGGGACACAATTGGTCATACCCGCGACTATACCGTGTTGCTATTGGTTAATAGATTACAAACGAAAACTTGTCGTTTTATTCCTTTACCGATTTTATATCTTTTATCAATGTGGTTGGTATCATAAGTATTGTTATAACCATAGAACAGTCGCAGTTAAAGGAATAAGTCATTTTATGTCTTAAAGTTTGTTAACATAAGTTGTGTTATTACCGTTAAGGACTCATAAACAAGGACGCAACTCGAAAAAAACTTTAAAAAATATAGACAATATGATTGATTTTTTTACCAATACCCATCAAACGAAAGCTTAGATGTATACGTAAAGCTTGAAATCATAAAAAGCACTAACAATAAATGCGAACAACCAATAATCAATAAAAGTATGGTTTTTTGCCTCTCCTGAAAAGTGTCGATTTTGAGTTATTCCCTTTTTCACTGGAGGCACTGATATATTCTCTTGTGTAAATATTTTCAATATTCAATACAACACATAGATATATATGACATTTTCATGTAAATAATAAGATATACAGTCTAACTCAGTATTCAAAAGTTAACATCTACATAATTTGTTATAATTATTAATACAAAGATCGAACATTCCTTCGATCTGGCCGGATTCGAACTGACGTCTTCTAGCATACCGTGCCAGACGACACCAACTAAGCCACGGAACGAACCAGCGGACCTCACGAATTTTTCTATGTGCTTGTTGTCGTATCTTTGTATTTGGTTTTTCAACTAGTGTTAGTGATCTTTGTATTAATAATTATAACAAACTAGTGGAGTAGTTTCACAAAAAATAATTGAATATCAATTCAATAAAAATCACAATACAGATCCCCTACCCGTACGCATAGGCGAAGACGCGGTCGAGCCTACGGGCCAGTTTAAATACTTGGGATCTGTACTTAGCGCGTCCGGAGACATCGACTGCGACGTCAGAGCCCGAATCGCAGCCGCTTGGGCAAAGTGGCGTGAGGTGACTGGTGTAATTTGTGACCCCAAGATGCCGGTTAAGCTGAAAGGACAGGTCTATAAATCCATCATTAGGCCTGTCCTTTTATATGGCAGTGAAACGTGGCCCGTACTTGAGCGTCATAAGCAGGAGCTGCGTGTCACGGAAATGAAGATGCTGCGCTGGATGTGTGGAGTTTCACGGAAAGACCGTGTCAGAAACTCCCGCATCCGCGGCAGCCTTCATGTCCGTGACATTGCAGATAAACTGCAAGAAAGCCGCCTACGTTGGTACGGCCACATCTTACGGAAACCGGCTTGCTACGTGGGAAACAAATGTCTGGCTATGCCACCTCCGCCGGGCCCCGGTAGAAGGGGCAGACCCAAGAAGTGCTGGCTTGACGTCGCCAAGGGTGATATGCGTGCCAATGGTCTCACCACTAAGGATGCCGAAGACCGTGCAAAGTGGAGGAGAAAGAGTAGGAAAGCGGACCCCGGGCTCCGCAAAACCCTGCTGAGGACGCAACCGGGACAACGCTAAGATGAGAGAGAGATCAATTCAATAAAAAATTTAAAATCTACACAATTTGTTGTATGTCTTAATTTTTTATGCAGGAATAACATAGATTTTAATAAATTGATAGAACCAGTTTAACATGCGTATTATTCAAACTGTGACATGTTAAACCGACAAGTGTTGACCTGAAAGCTGCACAATGCATATAACTTTTAATCAACGGAGGAACATTATATTTAAACATTTTTAGATATTTATCTGTGAAGTTTATGTTGTATGCTTTAAGTTAGGGCTATATGGTACAGTCAAGAGCTCATCAAGCTTGACTTTTTGGACTTTGGACCGTTCTTATAGCAAGCAGTATAGAGTTAAATTTAAACCTGTAGTGTCAAGCCTGACATGCTCTTGACAAAACAAATTTCAATGTTTATTATTTGTACTATTTTAATTGAAGGACTCTTATCCAAGGTTATGAAATAAATCTTAAACAATCTTAGAAAGAATCCTGGTGCTACGTTTGCTTTAATTTTTCCTTTTCTATTTAAAAAACCATTGTTGAAAGATAATCGTTGAACATATTCTTTGGGGCAATGTTAACTATGTCTTGTATGAGACAAACAAGTACCTATAAATTTAGTACATTTGTACTAATCACAGTACTTACCAAGTAGATTTTTTTTTTTTTTTTCTTACAACCCTATGTTTTTTTAAATTTCTTTATGACTTTGGATCCATGTCCTTCAGAAATAACAGACATAACAAACATATAAAGAAACGTTTTCTAATATTTCGGCTGAAAGACATGAATCGAAAATCGTTAAATAAATTAAAAATATGCTTATATGTATATTCAAATAACATTTACAGATGTTTCTGTACTATTTCTAGCAGCAAAAAAATTATGATTTGATACGATTATCCGATTACGAATAAAGGGTTTATTTTTATCCGAAAAGAGTTTATTGAGTACAGGCACTCACCGGCTGGACAATGTAACTTGAGGGTAATTCAAAGCCTTGAATTTACAGAGAGCCAACTCCATCACCCCCTGTATGCTCTGCGGGTCGATGTGCTTGCTGTTGTCCTTCAACCATATCTTTTCTGAGGACCTACAAACAGTTTAAAATGTAATACGGACTATCTAACTTTTCCAATGACGTGCAAATAATTATCTCTAAATTACAGATTAAATACATACCGAAATGGTGTCCCAATGTATGAGAAGAATGCTAAATATCTGGCTTTCATTTTATAATGCAACGCATTAATGTTTCATTTTAATTTTCATTTAAATGTTTGAAAAATTACATATTTTTAGGTTATTCGAATAAACAGCTGGTTGATGACATTACATTTTTTTTTAAATATTTTAAGTATGCCTGTCGACATTGGCAAGTGGGATTTTAGTCAACTCTTCCTTTAAATCAGTTTTTTATGTGTAGGCGTTGCGTTGGATCATGGAAAAAATCCATTAAAAAAAATACTTTTCAGAACTGACCCCCTCCTTGACTGCCTCCGCGGCCGAGCGGTTACCATGCCGGACTACCACGCAGAGGTCCCAGGTTCGATTCCCGAGCCGGGAGAAATATTTATATGGTCTACATTTATTTCTCTCGTGAGTTTGGGTGTAATTTGTGGTTGTTTATGTGTGTGTTCATAGCACCTGCGACACAGGATTTCCTTAGTGCGGGGCTTAAAAAAAAAGAATATTTTTCCGGAAATTATTCCAACATTTTTCTTTTGTTGTTTTTGTGTTTGTTGTGTTGACACCTATCAAAAATTAAAGCTACTGAACGAAAACGATGGAGCCATTAAATAAAAAGATTTTCTTTGCTGTTGTTTCATTCAAATTTCGTTTTCCTTTAACTTGCAAAACAATTTTATTTTAGAATTTACAACAGCTAGAAATTAACTGCCTCCGTGGCCGAACGGTTACCATGCCGGACTGCCATGCAGAGGTCCCAGGTTCGATTCCCGGGCCGGGAGAAATGTTTGTATGGCTTACATTTATTTCTCTCCTGAGTTTGGGTGTAATTTGTGGTTGTCTATGTATGTGTCCATGGCACCCGCGACACAGGGTTTCCCTAGTGCGGGGCTATGTTGAGTGTGTGCGTTATTTATTTATTATTATTATTTATTAATAACCTGAAATTACCCAAATCACAAAGACCTAACGAGCACTACCAATGCACTTTAAGACATAAAATTAAAATACCAGCACCCTTAACTTCAAAACTAAAACGCAGTTATACTCACATTACTGCTTGAAGGCAAATGGCACAAGAAAAGTTGCAACACCGATCCCTTGAAGTGGGAGATGTAGTCGAGTTGCCGTTCCGGGTGGAGGCACTTTGTGAAAACTCAGGTGACAAAATTTGAAGAGCAGAGACTGTCAGACCTGGACGCGAAACGTGATGCTCTCAAGGCTAAGACACCTGCAGCCATCTTTTATTACTATGTTGACGGTGTCCTTACGTGTCGCCACTATTTGCGAACATTTACCTATAAGATTGGCTGCTGTAGCCATCTAAGGGCACATGAAAGAGCAAGCAACCATAGCTCTAATTCTAAACAATAGCAGTCGCTGTAGCCGAAACCGGCTAGGACATACGCATTTGTATTTTTAACCGACTTCAAAAAAGGAGGAGGTTCTCAATTCGACTGTATGATGTTCTTTTTTTTCTTTTTTGTATGTATGTTACGCGATAACTCCAGCATTTGTGAACCGATTTTCATGATTCTTTTTTTTGTTGGAAAGGGGGTACTTCCATAGTGATCCCATTTCATTTTGAAGAAAATCACCCACGAAGTTCACGCATGAAGATTCATTTTTATAAATAGCGCCTAACTTTAATTTAGGAGCAATTACTGTAATGCTTGATTTTGCTATTTCTTCAATTCAAGGCGTTTTTCTCTCAATATACTTTGAGTGGTTTTTGGTGGAGAACCTATTTTTATTGTCTCCAGTGGCAAGTCCTGTATAGTGGCGAACTAGGGGATATTTCAATAAAACTTAGCAAATAGACGTAATTCCACTTACTTTTGAGGTCGGTTTTTATAGTACTCTGTACTGAGATTATATAGTAGTGTGGCAAGCGGTTGATTCAGTACCTCTAATATGATATTTTTCTTTTCCAGATGGTCCCTAATACAAATAATAGCGATAGCCGCCATAGGTACACTTCAGGTCTACTTTGTAAGAAAACTCTTTGAAGTAAAAAGCAACTCATCGAAAACGAGAATCTAATACAGGCTTCAAACAGGTACAGATCCAGCTTATCCGTAACATGGAAATAAAAGCCCTACATTGAAAAACAACTGAAGGTTGAATCTCATTGATCAGCACGCATTAGCGTCCATATAAATGTTTTAAAAGAGGCGCTTGATGCTGAAATTTGAAAACAAACTTTAATTGTTAAATCAAAGTTTGTTTTCAGGTTTACAGTTATGTGAAATTTTAATTACCCGAGAAAAAAACGGATTGTCTTATTTGGGGTTAGTTTTGGTCAAAATTTCGTGACACTAAGGCTTAACGCACACTGGCGCAGAGTCGAAGCGTCGCGTCGCGTCATTTTCAACTGCAAAAAGGCGAAGGCGAAGGCGCTCGTCGTCTTTGCATAATACATATTTGTACCTTATATTGGGAAAATAGAGATGAATATGCAATAGGCCAAAAACATGTCTCGTCGCGACGCTTCGACTCTGCGCCAGTGTAAGTTGAGCCAGTATAGTTGATTCCAATTTTTTAAATGCGCCACAAAGTACTTATGCGAAATTTTACGTATGTACGGAACCAAAGTACGGACAGCAGCTCATCAAGTTAGTGATTGATGGATCTGGTGCCATGCCATTGCTCTGGAGGCAATATTCGAACAAAAGTGTTTAGCTTGATGTGGTGTTGACTACGACATAGTTAAGGTTAGACAGGTAAACTTCATTATTATTGTAGTCATAATAATTTTCATATGTCAAAAACAATTGTAAAGTAGGCGTACGCAACTTATATATAAATTCGTAAAATATGTCGCCACCAATTGAATAGCACATTTATAACGGGTGCAGTGCAATGGGATTCAACCTTAATTAACTGGCCAGTTGGATTTTTGATCAGAGATGGTAAACTGACACACTGCCTTCTAATATCACTTTTAAAAATAATGTTGTCATGTTTTTTATATGTATGGTCAGTTCTGAATGAACTCACTGAAACAGAATGTGACAAAATATAACGTTAAACATTTTCATTTATTAATCTACCAAAAAATATTTAGTTTTATATTTAATATTAATTTTTAAGTGACATTCTAACTAACACTATGGGTCCAAGTGACTTGAAATCATCTTCAAAATAAATGAATTAATATTATTATATTATTAAAGGTCAGTTTACTGTCTCAAAAATCCAACTAAACACACTAATGCCACATCTCATGTCACAGATAAGTTGGTCTATACTATAGATGAAAAGTCAAAGAGTAGTATACGAATCAGAAGCATCCAAGGTGACGTTACTTTGATTCACTGATGACGTTAATAATGGTGAGTCTCCATTGGTTCTCGTGAGACATCATCATACTGCAACTGAACATTCCTTCGTCATTCCTTTAGGAATACTGTCCATCAGAGTATCTGTGATACGGCAAAGGAGACAACTAACGGCACCACGTTGAAAATCTGCAATATACAATGCTACTTAACTGTTATGTTTTAATGGTTGTTGTAAAAAAGTTTATTCAGCACAAATACTTTATAAAAATAATAAATGTCAATGCCGGGGAATACCGTTTATCCTATTTAAAAACTCTCAATTTGTCTTCCGAAATAACATAATAATATTAATTTCGATGTTTTTTATCTCAAATATTTTGTCTGAATGACTTTGGATCCAAGGTCCTAAAAAAATTGCATAATAATCATGTTTATGTACAGTAAAAAAAATTTGCATTAGAGTCAGAACATATGATAGCTGGTAATTAAAAAAGAAAAACCTATGCTATCAGCACCTGTGATAACATAGAAGCAAATATATTATTAATTGGCACAAATTCAATAATCACAATATTTCGAAGGATGAAAAACAATATATATTTATAAAGATGCTACAGACCTTGACAGTTTGCAGCGCTGTTATTTTCAAGTACAACTCAGTCAGCGGTCGCACCCGTAAAATGTGTACAAATTTTGAAATATTCTATTAAAAATAGTAGCAACACTGGATAGATGTCGCTAGTGTGTGAAACTCGAATCACAGATACGTTGGTGGTTAATTGGTGCTTCGTGGTTGATTGTACCCTAAACTTTGGTAATATTTTTTGTTGTGACATTTTTAGCGATGAAGTTTTTAGCGTTTAAGGGGCAATACGCTGTTCTTTGTACGTATTGTGTTGTAGACTGTACGCACTTTGTCACGCTTTGAGAGTGGTTTAAAGCCAGCTCCACATTCGCGTCTTGTCCTTATTTATTTATTTATTAAGCCTTTTTTTTAAATTACAATTTTACGGTGCATTTAAAATTTTTACATTACGTCCCTTAATTCAGCGTGCCTTTTGGCATAGAACTTCTCCAGATCTTTCCGGTGCGCTTTATCAAGAGCTACTCTTCTCCAACATGAGCCTGCAGTTAGCTTCAGCTCATCCTCCCATCTTTGATGTTGACGCCCACTTTTACATTTTCCATCACGCGGGTACCAATTGGTGACTACTTTGCTCCATTTTTCCGACGCACGCAACAGATGCCCAGTCCATCTCCATGTTGCCTTCTTGTACTATTTATTATCAATTCAGTGTTGGTATTATATGCCAGTAAAAAAAGACATTGCGCGTGCTAGAGCCGATTTGGTAGATAGCAATTTCCTATCGTTCTTTGAACTCATGATCTCTTTTTTACAATTTTTATACAACTTTTCTGATCATCTGTGTTGTGAATTATATTCTATGGAATTTCCTCTTAAAAATTGTTATTGGAATGGGTTTTAGATTTAAATATAGAAGCTTGCCCAGAAAATATCTAAAAAAAGTTATACATATAATTTAAATAATTTCTGTCGCATAACTTTTATGCGTCCGCTGCTTCACATTTTTTTTCTAAAAATTTTTAATAATCCTATACCCAGTTGTGTTGTAAGTTCATTTATTTGTTTTCTTTACTCAATAGCATAATCGTAGATTAAGAAATAAGGTGTACAATTAAATCTTGTGTTTTTCAATATACACATTGTTTGATGTCAATTATACTGCTGTTTTTACTAAACTAAAATTTTATAC